GCTCCGAGGGCCTGCCCGTGCTCACGCCGTAGCCGGAGTAGTCGTAGGAGAAGATGTTGCAGTTGATGCGCGTGCCCAGCCCGATGTAGAAGCTGCTCATCTGCCCCAGGTCCACGGCGTTGCCATGGGAGAAGAGCACCGTGTACCTGGGATGTGGGTATGGAACATCTGGAGCTCCAGCACAGACAGCAACCAAACCCCGGCACACAAAGGGCCAACAACCCCTCCAGCCACCAAGGGAGCTCCTTGTGACACCCCCAGACCCTTCCCTGACAGAGCCAGGGGCTCACTCCCAGCAGGAACAGGCAGCTTGATGATTCTGTTGAAGTTTTTGAGTCTATTTTTGGTAAAAAGCTCAGGATTTGGGGCCGTTTGCCCAATGGGGATTTCAAGTAAGAATTCTGACAGCGGGTTTTTTCTCTCCTGAGCCTGGCAAGACACCAGATGCTGAGAGAGAAGTGAATTGTGGGAGTGACAAGGCACAAGAAATTTCCACCATAAGGGGAAAAACAATGTTAATCATAAAAATTAACACTAATAGCAGACTGATGAGAGCTTGGCTCCCTTCTGCCAGAGGGAGGGAGCAGGACTCACTCCCTGCTGAGCCCCTGCAGCTGGTCTGAGGGGTCTGTGGCCAGGCTGAGCCTGCAATCCTGGCCTGGATGCCCAGGGAGCCCCAGGTGCAGTCAGTGACAGAATGAGCTGGGGGAGGTCAGCCAGCCAGCAGCACCTGATACCCCAGGTTTGGCAGGCCTGGTTCCCCCCTGCAGCCTGGGATGCTGGTCCTTGAGGACCTGTTGTTCCTGGGAGGACACAGAAAAGGGGTCAGCTGGGGTGACATGGCCACCCTCTGCACCTGAACCCCAAAACTGTGCCACTGCTCAGGGAGCAGCTGCCAAGTCCCCTCCTGGCAGCAGCATGGGGTCTCCATCTCACACTCCAAGGTGCCAGTTCAGACCCATGGGAGTGACCAAACCCCTCCTGGCTTTCACTTCCATCACTCTGTTCCTTGAGGAACCAAAAGTCCTGTGAATTTGACTGAGCCAGGCTCTCCTGGCTGGCACATGGTCACCACGGGGCTGGGCACGGGGAGAAGCAGCTGGTGCAGCCACCCCGGTGCCCCCAAGCTCTGTGCAAATACCTGGAGCATTGCATCACTGCCATGACACCAGGGGCCTGTGAGACAGCCTAGGGAATCCCCACACCCCACAGCCTCAGCTTTGCCTCTGCTCCTGCTTTAACCCCACTGCCAGGGCGGCCAGACCGGTCCTGGGAGCGCAGCTCACCCGTCCCATTGGAGCCTCCAAATGCCCGGGGCAGG